TCAAGCTGGTTATATGTTTATCCACATATCCCAAGGTCCAGACTCTGAACAAAAGAAAGAGACTATGAAATATAGCCCTGGCAGCTTTCACCCAGGAAGTCAAGATGAAGCACGTTCAAATTCAGATGGAGATTCGTCTTCAGGCCTGGAAATGGACTACATTGTTGTGTCTGGTACAGTCAAAGAAGCTGAGAGGGCATGGCACGGCAGGCCTAAACAAGGAGACAAACAAAGTTAAGGAACAAGGACCACTATGGAGACTTTCAGCACACTTGTCTTTGCTGCCACAGCACTGCAAAGCCAGGTCCAGAGCAGACACAGGGAGGACCAGGAGAACACTGAGCAAGTTGCACAAAACCACATGATCAGAAACACCAGAAGTCCAGTTAGTCCTGCCACTGAGGATGGCATAGAGCTAGAACTCCTTAGTCATAGCCAAGCAAACAACACTACGAAAGTCCACCACATTCGACAGAGATCAGTCAGACACAGATTGAAGAAAAAGGCTATGAAGAGAAGTCCAGCCTTGTAGGCAGAAGTGTGTCTCCATCACTGAAATTCCCATCTGATAACTTTTTAAAAACCAGAGTGGAAGTTTATGTGCATTCACAAATTTCAATGGAAGACTCAGACGAGGGTGGACAGACTCCTTCTGCAACACCTGCATGTTGCCCAACATCTTTGGCGACATTTCAAGAGTGGGAAGGTCAGTTCGGGAGGCAGGACGCTTCTGAAACGCAGTCCCCCGTTCTCACCAACAGCTTTATCTCCCACTCGCTCTTTTAATGGATCCCCACTGAGTGAGACTGGTATCTCTGCTGAAAAAGGACTTGGATTACCATTTCTGGAAATGTAATGGAGTTCAGCAATAAGATCAAGTATGTGCACAGTCTGCGAGATCTGGGAGAAATCATTCCCATGGAGTACGTCCACATTCCACACAGCATTGTCAAGTGAGTCAGTCTGTCCCATTGTTTCAATGCCAGAATCTAAACAATGCTTTTTCAATTGTCTCAGTGACAGTGAAACATCTTATTTGCAAATTTGTAATATTGTCCATATTATTATAGGAATGTTGATTAATTTAAGTTCATCAGGATTAATGATAATTAATCAAGATCGTGATGATTGATGCTTCTACTGTACTTGGAAACATTAGGTAAGTTTACCATTTTGGAGTAGGACAGATGGTGGGAATTTAACTGGTAAGGAAGGATATTTTAAACACGTAACATAGACATACAGTTAGATTAGAAATATAAAGAAATAATTATTATTATCTAGAATCTAGAATATTTGAATATGATATTACAAGTAGGCTTTTTACACTTTTTGCTATATATCTTTTGTTTCCTTTCCCCCAAAGAACTACACTGTATAACAAGAAAGAATTTAATAACACAGTGCTAGTTACAATTCAGGAGGACTTGATTAAGGCCTGTTTACATACATCTTACTTTATCCAAAAGGTATGACGAGGAGAGACAAAGACACTATTCTGCTTGGATGACACTAATCTTTACTGATCTTGGACTGTCTCCCGAATCTAACCTGTCTTCAAACACAAGCCAATTATTGATTCTCTTATACCTTCACGTCAACTCTTTCATTACAAGACTTTGTTTTTACGTGTCAAACATGCTGCTGTGACAACTAACCCCCCCCCCTCCGCAATACCTCACCCTAAAATATATTGTACATTTAAGCATTTATAATAAAATTACCTGCATAGCATTACAAAAAGCCCACGGTCTGTTTCCAGCTTAGAGGAAGGAAATTAAAGATTAAAGCAGGTCTTCTTTTCTGCTGTCCAGGAGCTCATGTCTTATTATTGTGTCTTCACACCTTTTGTCACTGAGCATGTCTACGGTCTGATAAGTTCAGACGTCTTCACCCAGTGCTTGCTGATAATGTGACTATGCCTGTCACCTCTTTGACTTCCTCACTAATCTTTTCTCTCTATCTTCTAACTCTATGCTTAACCAGACTGGATTCAGATTTACCGAACACAGTAGCCAAGTAAGTAATATGTCTGTTAGCAACTGAATTTCACAGACCAGTGAAGGACAGAGGAGCTTCTCTATTTAAACAGTAATATAAAGTAATTAAAACTTCAGGATGTAAAATAACATTTACCCATTTTAAATATGTATATAAAGGTACTTTTTTGTAACATTTTAAGAGATTTTAGGACAACCTTTGACCTATTGCTTGGAGGGATTTTATTAGCTTTCTTTTAGCCATATTTTGACCTTACTCTACAGTTTAGTTTCTTTTTCCCCCTCTTTTCCTACGTTTTTATTTCCCATATGTTTGCTGACTGGAAGAGAAATGGAGTAGGGGTGTTCCTAAAGGAAGAATATGTACGATATGTGGTAGAGGTGAAACGAGAGTCAGACAGGTTGATGTGTGTGAAGGTAGAAATAGAAGGAGTGATGATAAATGTTGTTAGTGGTTATGCCCCACAGGTGGGCTGTGAGTTGGAAGAAAAGGAGAAGTTCTGGAAGGAGCT